AAGCAGTTCACCATTACACAAAGAACAATTAGGGATGGACAATTAATGCTAGCCTTGTCATTGAAACCTACACACCATTTACAAAGTTCAGCCACTGAAATTATACTTTTAATTCTGTACTTTAGGTAAATTGACCAAAATACTTTCTTTTCTTTCCATGTAATTACCCAGCACTGAATTCCCAATTGTCAAGTGTTACCTAACCCTTAGTCCTTTTCGCCAATAATCGTAATTCAAACTACAAAACAAGCTTCAAAAACTGAAACTTGAATAATTAAAATTGAATGATTAAATTTATAAAAGGACATATATGAAATCCAATTGCTGCAAATATTCTCATTTGATGCAGAATGCAACATTTTCAAATTTAAAAATTCAAAATATTCCACTTAAATACTGATCAAAATATTTTAATGGCTGCTTTGAAAATGAGAGATAAATCTGAGCTGGTGTTGCAAATGGAATTGAACAGTTAACAGAGAATAAAATAAAATCAGAGTTATTTTTATGTTTGCAATGGAGTTGCAACAAGTTTTGAAGCAGTCCCCTCTATTCAGAGGATACAAGACAATCAATTCACTGTTCAATCTGGTACACGATCAGGGTAAAAATTAACAAGTGGATATGGATATTCTGGGTCACACACAATGCACTTATGGCATTTACAGATTTTGATTTAACAGCATGTACCAAAAAAAATGCAAAAATACCCCTGCAAATTTAACATATCCTTCCATTAACTTGAAATAAAAATAAATGCTAATGCAAATGAGCTGTAGGTGAATCCCTCAAAATGTTCAATTTCTGGCACCGTTTTTCTTTAGAAACATCCACTGCCATTTATTAGATTCATGTAAACAAGAGAGAAAAGAAACGAAGAGTGGATACCTGTGCAAAAATTCGTTGATCTCCTACATTTGTTTCTTGTTTTCTTTTTCACTGGACTGTCCCCACACTAAAGTCAGCAACCAGACACTTGTGAGGGAACAAGGACCTTTTATCCCAATCTCAGTTTGCTGACGTTAGTCAAATGTAAGATGACACCTGTCCTCTTTCAATAACTTCCACTCGTATAGTGTGTTTAAAGTGGTAAAATATCCTGAGGCTGTTTTCAGACAAGCATTAACCCCAGCCTATTGGGAAGTATTAGGACAGGTGACTAAGAGCTGGTGAAAGAGCTATGTTATCAGAGACTTAAAAGGACAACAGGGAAGTAACAAGGTGGAGGGATAGGGAGGGAAATTCTTGAGTTTAGGGCCCATGCAGCTGAAGACTGTGCTGCTAATAGTGGCTCAAAAGAAGTTGGAGCTGGTCAAGAGGTTAGGATTGGAGGAATTCATAAGGTTATAGAGCTGGAGGTGATAGAGTTACAAATGGGTGAGGCTGTGGAGGAATTTAAATGCTAAGATGAGAATTTTAAAATTGAGGCATTGCTGAAGTGGGAGCCAAGATAGGTCAGAGAGCACGGGTGAGCAGGGACTGGACCGAGTTAGGACACTGGCTGAGGTTCAGGGAGGGCATAATTTACAAGATATCCAGGACCAGCATTTGAAGAGTGTGTTTAAAAATAACAAAAGTGTTTGCTTTCCAATCTACACTGGAAGGTGATTTAGGTAAAACAGTGTTTGAGGATGGACATGTTAGGATCGCAACTTCTTTAATGCCTTCTCACAAATGGCAAAGCCTCATCTACATCTCCATCCACACTAGATGGTTTCATTGCCTCATTGGATGTTTATGAATATCAGGGATAAGGTAAACAGGTGTCTAGCCCAAATAGGTTGAGCTGCAAATCCTGGAGGCTAATCACCCAATTTTCTGTTTTGCAGATTCCCAAGAATTCATTTTGCCAGATATTGTCTCCTTCCTTAATCTATTCGTAGTAAGGTGTTATTAAAGGATCATTTGTCTTCATTCCAAGAATGAGAGAGAGCTGGTAGGACAATGTATTATAGGAGAACAAGAGGGGCCAGGTCAGGAGGGCACAGTGGAATTTCTCATCTGTAACAGACAGAGAGATATATGGAGAGAGAGGAGAGGAGTGAGAGAGAGAATAAGAAAGTCATACACATAAAGAAAGGGATTGTAAGTGATGGAGAGACACTTGGTAAAAAGGGAAATGAGGGAGAAATTCAGAGAGAGAAAGAGCTGAGCTTTCCCTTTGAAGTTGAAAAACCTTGTGAGTAGCTTTCCAGATCTTGAACCCACTTCTGGAATCCATTGGAATTTTAACAGAGGTGTCACTTTATTTGACACAGAACCATTGAGAAGATACATGCATTCCCGAACCTTTTCATCTTGCAGTCATAGAGTCAAAGGTATACAGCATGGAAACAGACCCTTCAGTCCAACCCATCCGTACCAACCAGACATCCTAAATAAATCTAGTTCCATTTGCCAGCATTTGGCCTTTATCCTTCTGAACCCTTTCTACTCATATAACCATCCAGATGTCTTTTAAATGTTGTAATTCTACCAGCCTCCATCACTTCCTCTGACAGCTCATTCCATACATGCACCACCTTCTGTATGAAAAAAGAAACTGCCCCTTAGGTCCCTTCTAAATCTTTCCCCTTTCACCTTAAACATATGTCCTGTAATTTTGGACTCCCCCACCCTATCCATACCCCTCATGATTTTATAAATCTCTATAAGGTCATCAGGACAAACAGAAGAATACCAAGTTTCAAGCAATCAGTAACTTGTACTTCAGCAGAAAAGTGTGGTCATTGGTTAGCATGTCAACTCTGATTGCTTCCTCTATAAATGGGAACCATAGACCCTAAGTTCCTGATTTACTCAAAACTTTTCCTTTTGCATGCACAGTCACTGCTAGCAAACATAAATTAAGCACATTACGAGCTTGACTGATTATGTTAAATTGTGTTTTTGGTTCACAGGATGTGTGTATCACCAGCTAGGCCAGTATTCAGTACCCATCCCTAATTACCCAATGGGCAGTTAAGAATCAACCACATTGCTGAGAGTCTGGAGTCATTCTGAGACCAGACATTATCTTCCTAAAAGGACATTAGTAAACTAGAAGGGATTTTACGACAATCATCAGTGATTTCGTGGTTGTATTGGCCAGCTTTTTAACAAATTCAAAATTTTATCATCTGCTGTGTTGGGATTTGAACCCATTTCCCACACACATCAACCTGTGATTCTGGATCACTAGACCAGTGACATTATCAACACATCTGTGCCTCCCCCTAAAAAGAAATTACCACAATCAGGATTGTTCACAGTTACATCTAACAATGGATGCTTTGCTTTGGGTTTTGCAAGCATTGGCAGTTGAGTAATGGCTGCTCTGTTAAACACAAAACAAACAATGGAACAGACTGTTTAATTCAATCAGTTGATCGTTTGCCATTATGGCCCACTTACCTGGCATTGCACCACTAAAATTCATGCATGGCTTTGTTCACAGGCATGGTTGGCAGAATATCTTTTTGAATGGAAGGCGACATCCTGTCAGTGGGAAATACCAGTTGTGTGACACTGCTTAATAGCCTGTGAAATGGCTCCTTAACCTGTTATTCAAATTTTTGAGCTACTTTCCCTTTCCAGGGAAATTTGAGATAGACTGGGCACTTTTCAGATATGCAAGTTATTGTGGGTAAATCACCACAAGTTACCTTTAACTTGGCTAATTGTTAAGAAATCTCACAGACGATCAAATACTGAAACAATGACGTAAACTTTAGCAACCAAAACAAGACCCTTCAAGTAAGCATGTTAAGCCTCAATTGGATGTTAGATCAGTACAGAGAAAACGTAAACCAAATGGTAAATGGATAAGTTCCTACATGGGTTGATGACACTAAACTAAGGAAACTTGTTGATGGGACAGGGACTTTAAGTAAAATCTCTATCTGTGAGTTAATCTCCGTAATAAATGTATGGACTAATGATTCAAGTATGGGAGGGAACGGAATAGGTCTTGTGTTAGGGATGCCTGTTATGTCTAAAGAAGACAAACCATTTAAAGTCATAACATTGCAAAATATTGGAGTGATCCAAAACACCATCTGGATGAGAGGTAAGAAAGTTCTACATTGTACGGTAAGGGTTTGGGGTGGGGGAGACCGAGAGCGAGAGAGACTTGTAGGGACAGCACTTAAGGAATGCCAACAGACTGATAAAATTATTATTTGTCCTTATCCCATTTACGCAACTTGACAAGCCACATGTGGCTATGAGTTCAGCGGTAATGAAACAGTTAACTGTAGTCTTGAAGTTTCAAGTACCATTCTAGACAATATTACCAGAGTTGGAAATGTAGGTGAAGGAGAATACCGTATCACAAAGTCTTTTAAAGCGTGTATTATCATAACTTGTACCATCACTGATTCAACGCACTCAACTGTCCATGCACATAGCAACAATGGAACGAATTAACATCAGGAAGGGAAAATGTGTGACCTTTTAGAGAAATAGTTATATCTTATTGGCAAAAATATGAGGTCCATATTGCCCTGAAAAGGGAACATTTGGAAGCAATAAAAGGGATTTTTGAGAAAGGCACACAGGTTACATGTTAAGGTTCAGCATTATAGTCAGAGAACCAAGATAGATATTAAAAACATTAAGGAACATTCTCAATGGGATGACATCTGAAACTGGAGAAATAATATACACACAACCATGGGTTCATACTATTACACATCTTGTTGTAGTTCTGTTAAGACATGATCATCTTAAAGCTGCAATGGGTGAAGCATTATACAAGTTCATTAATCTATTTTTGGTTTGTGTTTTATTTACTGATCATTAATCTATAACTCATTCTTTGATTATTTGTCTGCATAAAGCTGTACCACATAATGAATTGGTGCATTTTTAAATTGTGCAAGGTGTAGCAACTCAGCTTAGATATGAACCGATATGATGGAAAATGATAAATCATACTAGTGTTTTCTCATCATATTAAAAATAATGAACAAAGAACAGGGCCTGTGATATCATAAACTTCAGAACTTTAATAACTGTTCATGGATCAAAAGAATCAACAAAGATAAACTGTTACACACAAAAGAAGCAGCAGTAACTCCGTCTGGAGTAAACTATTAAGGGACAAGGACAAACTTACACAGGATTTGAAAGTAATTAGCCACATCTGGGAAATGAATGAGTCAAAGCAATATGAACAAAACTGTTTTGACATCTGCTTGACAACTGGTTGCCTTGTGCCACAAAGATAAATGACCACCCTGCTAAAGAATTTAAGGAGTTAATTATAAGACAGGACGTGTCTTCAAACAGACAGTTAACACTGAATGTAACGAGGAACTTCTGATAAGAAAGCAAGCTGCAGACCTATAATATTTTGCATGAAAGAATCTAAAGAATTATCAATAATATCACCTCACAGAGCTGAAGGATGAAAATCTGTATAAGTATCCAACACTAGAACCCCTTATTAGTAAACCTTCGAAGAACAACACAAGGATCGAATCCCAGACACTGCCGGAGACAGATATTGTTGGTTGGAATTGTAGCTAAATTCCACCATTAATCGGGTAATTGCCAAGTTGAGTTGTGAGGCTTAACTTGGTTACTTGAGGGGTCTTATTTTGGTTGCTACATGCAACAAAGTTTAAATCATTGCTTCAGTACTTGATTATCTGTGAGATTTCCTAATAAGTAGCCGAATTAAATGTAACTTGTGATTATTTATCCGCAACAAGCGGTGTGCAAAAAAAACATTTTGACAACCACAGAGTTACGCAAGAGATGGTACGAAACAAGGGCCAGCTGGAAAGCCTGACATTACCTGATGCTGCCTGGCCTGCTGTGTTCCTCCAGCTCCACACTGTATTGTCATTACCTGTGGTATTAGATTTATGTGGATAGTAATAGGAATGCTAAACGCGAGGTGTACCTTTATTGTATCAACTACTTAAGGTGAGGTTTATCTTTTTATTGGAAATATCTTTCACCTTTTAACTAATATTCACGTTAATTTCAATTGCCTTGTAGGTTTTAAAAGGTGAGATCTCGTCCAACAGCTTCCACTGACTTCATAGAGATTCCTTTCTTTCAAAATTGATTTATCTCCAAGGGGATTGTAACTCAACCTTTTTATTTTTCTTACCAAAATATAATAACATCTATCATTTCAGGTTGATGACTTTTCTTCAGAGTTCTGATGCAAGGTTATTGACCTGAAACCGGAACTGTTTCTCTCCAGAAATGCTGCCTGATCTGTTTGGTGTTTCCAGACATTTTTGTTCTTATTTCAGATTTCCAACATTCGCAGAACATTGCTTTTGCACGCCTAATACTTTTTAATGCTGAAATTCAGCACGATGGGTCTGCCCTGTGAGATTATTAACCTCCTCTTGTACTTTGCTGTAGTCATCAGTGTTTGGGGGCCACAGTAGCAATTTGGCAATGTCAGTGGATTGGGAATTCAGAGCCCAAGCTAATGTTCTGGCGAGACAGGCTTGAATCCTACCAGGGCATAGGGTGAAATTTGAATTCAATAAAATCACAAATTAAAAACACTAGTTTAACAGCAACCACGTACCCATTTTGTTGTAAAAATCCACCTGGTTTACTACTGTTCTGTAGAGGCAATACATTCCAGATCAACAAATATGATTGAAATGATGGGGGGAGGGGACAGTTAAGAGTCAATCATGTGAAGGAAAGTTAAGGATGGATAATCAATGCTGACATTGCCAGCACGAGCCACATCCCATGCAAGAATAAGTATGACCATTCCTCCCATTTTAGTCACTAAAACAGAAATTGTTGGAAAGGCTCAGCAGGTCTAGCAGCATCTCTGGAGAGAAATCAGCGTTAACGTTTCAGGTTCAGTGACCCTTCCTCAGAACCTCCCATTTTAGTATTTGTTCACAAATTTAGACATTTTCTTTTCTATTCTAAAATCTAAATCAATATAATTATAAATTGTGAAGAACCAATCCTTGTGCCAGTCTGAATATATGCCCTTTTCAATAATGTGCATAATGCAACTCACTGCTTTCTATCTTGAAGTCAGGTACATGATCCAACCTTAGTCAATTATGACCTTTACTATGAAACATTAGAACTTCAAAAGGTAAGGAAAATGTATCCTTCTTTTATTCTTTCATAGGCAACATGGAATAAAATATAAAGTACTAGATCAAGAAAACTTACACCTGACCATGTCTTACATCCAAAGGCAACCTGTTTTAAAAGTGAATAATCTACAAGATTAAAAAATTAAACTTTGGACTGTGAAATATTAAACATTTATCAGCTCTTGTCATGAACTTAGATGATTGCTTGTTAAACTGTAAAACATTGTAGAATATTTGAGATGGTTTAAACAATCCCACTTAAACCAAGACCATTATGATTCTTCACCTCTCGTGACAGCCCACAGATGGCGATGTACAAATGAGCCAGATTTCAAAACTCTAAAATAAAGCAGCTCCACTGGAATAACACAAAATCAGGGAAATTTCAATGAATCCTTTGTGACGTTGTGTTTCAATTAAACTCATTGCTAGCATTGGCTCAGTTATTGTGGCTGTGCTGAGGTGCAGGAGTGGACCCCCTTTTGAATAATGTTTTCAAACCAGTCTCCCCATTTCTGCTTAAATGTTGCCAATTCTGACTTTGTTGGCTAGATGCCATGAGTAGAGGACTACCACTTGGAATGGATCAAAATTCTCACCAACCCGTAGGGTTGCCAACTCGACATTGGATGTATTCCTGGTTTCTTCACATGATTTCCAACTTTCCCAATATTAATAAACAAGGTAATCAAATAAACTGGGGAAAATAAACACAATGATTTTTTTTTCTTAAAAAAGGAGATTTCAATGATTGTTTTCCTCCTGAATTCTGTTTATAGCAGCATTCATAAGATTAACTGTCAATTTCTGCAGAGTCCAGGCCAACCCTGGAGGGCTGGGAACCCTACCTAGCTGTTCACCAAAGCATGAATCATTGAGCAGGGAGAGGCATGGAATGCTGTGTTCAAAGTCACAGCAGCAAGATAGAAAGGAGGATTCAACAAGAAAAATACCTCAACAACCAGGAACAGTTCGGATTTTGGCCAGAAAGGATTGAGTGTCTATCAAATAGTTCACAAAATATTTAAATTCACTTAAAGTTAAACAAGCTGTGTTTTAATCCATTATTTGACTGATTAGAAAGATGAAACCATTCTAGCTGATTGAAATTGTTGTGTTGCTTTCTTCGTTATGAAATATCTGGACAACGCAGTTTTAAACTAGTTTAAGAACGAAGACCACATCATCCAGTACATAGTGATCATTGTATAAGTCTCCTTCACACAGGTATGGGAGCCGGGTGAAAGATTCAATGGCAAAGCCCATCTTGCTGAATACATCGTTACTAAAACTGGCCACTTGCTCTTCCCACGTCTCTCCGGTTACCTCGAGATATTCCGAAGGTCTCTCCCATCTACCACCTACAAAAGGAAACAAAATCACAGTGGATGCAGTAAATAAACGAGTCAGTGTTTTCTCAGATTACCTCCCAGCTCACTTTAACCAATTCTATAGATGCCAGTAATCCTCACCAAACTCCCCACTCCTTAAAGAGAATCACTGACAATAGGGGGTCACTGGGTTATTCAACATCAGGAGACACAATATCAGACAAGAGGAGTCTGATCACATGCGTCAGGGTTTTAGAGATGAGGAAAGTCTAGAGAGACCGGAGATACTCAGCCTGTAAAAGAGGAGTCCCAAGAATGACACGCTAGTTAAGAGAGTTGGAGAAAGTTAACTGCTTTAAATAAAATCGAGTGTGGGTCACAGAATCAAACCAGTACCGAGGTACGTTTAAGTCTGAGATAGCCACAAAGAGTGACTTATACTTGGAATGGATTCTGACTAGAGGTAAAAACCTGGAAAGCATTTAAAATACAGCCAGATGCTTCTTTCATGCAAATGTAGGGTCACTCTAGATGACTAGTATCAAGATGGGCTGAATGGTCTTCCTGACCTTGATCTTGTAATAATTGGGTTCAGTTGTAATTCTCCACAGTGGAACTGCCCCCCAGGACCCTGTGTTTACATATATAAAAGGAATAACCAGATTGCTGGTTTGGGGAAGAGGAGCTGGAACCTCTGGAACTGGTGTCCCAGGAACAAGGTAGCCAAACAGGAGGCTGGAAGAACACAGTAAGCCAGGCAGCATCTGGAGCAGTCCTGGAGAAGGGTTATGCCCGAAACGCTGACTGCTCCTTTCCTCCAGGTGCTGCCCGGCTGGCTGTGTTCTTCCAGCCTCCTGTTTGGCTACCATGGATTCCAGCATCTGCAGTTTTTTTGTTCCCCTCCCAGGAACAGACCCTACTGTTGGGACAAGAATCAGGTGTCCTTTCTAAAGGGCTGCACATCCACAACTTGAAAAAAAATCACATTAAAATTGGTTTACTTCCACAGGACAGAATGTTGAAATCAAGCAGTAAACTATTAGACTTGGTTATAGCAGAAGTTTTATCATGAGATGACAAATCTGCAAGTATAACTTAGCGACAATAATCAAACACACTCATTCCACTCAATTCTGTTGATGTACAGAACACAATCCACATCTTATCTGCACAAACATCTATAATCCTACAATCTACAGGTAGGGAATCTAAATAGATACATTGCACTGATTATCCACACACAAACTATAGTGAAAGCCTAATGCATACATGAATTTGCATAATCCATACATAGAACCCATATACACGCACTCTTCACCATGTGTGTCAAAAGTTAAAAATGAGTCAAATCTTAACACCTCAATGCTTTCACATATGCCTCTCATGTAATGCTGAGTCAATCATTATTGTGTGGTGTCTGCTAAAGGACACAAACACACAAAATCATTCCTACACATGCTCCCATACAACTTCCTCTCCCAGTGATGTTGCAGCAATAGCTTCAGAAAGGAAATGGTTTCTCAATTTGGAACAGGCACACAGAGTTCTCCTTCAGCTCAAAGTGTTTGAACAATGGAACTTACGAGGAGACTTACAGAGGTTTTCTTCCTTTACCTTCAAGTTTCCAACTTTTACATAGCAGGTGAGAAACTAACTCATTTTACTCTATCTTTCCCACCTAGTCAGCCCAACAAAAAGCTCGACAGCAGACACGATGGGCATTAAGTGAATTGCAACGTTTCTTAGGTGTCTCACTTCTTTCATGTTATGGGTCCGGGACAGTGAATATGAATATAGCTAATTAACTGCGGAAAGACTCAACCCAGTATGAGCTGAAGAGAAAGAACCCAGACTGACATTGCTGGATCTTGTCCCAGAGATGATACTCAAAGCATTTTTATTATCTCCTCAGTTGGAATTAACTAATCTAGCACCGATTGGGGGATGGGGGTGGAAGTGGGGTCCAAACCAGCCACAGTCCTGGGCTGTGATTCAGAAATATTCATATTTCACTCTAATTGAATGGTGGTAAAGACGACAAACAGAATAGAGGGCAATGTGGTTGGTAAACATGATTACAATTATTTGTTGGCATGAAGGGTAAGCTCTAGCAAGGACTGGTTGAGATGGGGGCAATAGTCTTTTTGCGTTGTAACCTCTAATAGCTGCCCCGGGCGTGTTGTGATGGGGCAGTGGAGCTTTACTCTGTATCTAACATGTACTGTGCCTGGCCTTGAAGCACTGCACTGTTGGAGGTACAGTGTTTCAAATGAGATACTAAATTGAGGCTCCTGTTCGATCTTCAGCCTCTACTCATAAGCAGACCAGGCACGGCTCCTGGTGCTTTAATTAATATTTACAAGTTACTAACATCAATAAATCAAATTAAATGACAGTTGGTACCAATGAAATCCACCTGTAAACAAAACTGATTCACACGAGAGTTTGAGATATAAAAATAGACTGGAAAGACAGGGACTTTTTTCCCTGAAGCATAGGAGGTTGAGGGGTGGCCTTACAGAGGTTTATAATGTCATGAGGGGCATAGATAAAATGATTGACTAGGGTGTTTTTCCTAGGCTGGGGGAGGGCGGGAGAGTTCAAAATTAGGGGGCATATTTTAAAGGTGAGAGAACAAAGATTTAAAAAAAGATATGGGGGCAACTTTTTTCTCCCCCACACAGAGTGCGGTTCGTGTGTGGAATGAGCTGCCAGAGGAAGTGGTGGATGCAGGTACAGTTACAGCATTTAAAAGACATTTGGATAAGTTCATGAATAGGAAAGGCTTGGAGGAATATGGGCCAAGTGCAAGCAGGAGGACTAGTTTAGGTTGGGAACATGGTTGACGTGGACTGTTTGTACTGAAGGGTTTGTTTCTGTGCTGTATGACTCTATGATTCTACGAGAACAGTACCAACACATTGCAGTACATCTTACGTGAACAGCTTTGGAATATTACTGAGAAATTTTGTACAGGTTTGTTTAAACGTCCCTTCCCTTATTTTTACACAAAGATCTAATCCACATTTTTTTCAGCGAGTACTAGAACTTAAAACAAGTTTTTTTGTGTAAAGTTGTTGCTGTCATCAGGAACCAACCACGACTCGAGTCTTAATTGTGATTTTTACGTTATACTGAATGGAACCAGCTCCAGAGGGATTTTTTTGTTGTGAATAAGACAGTTCTGCTGTTTCTGCAGAGACATTAAAAACTTACATGAACAGAATAATTTCTCAAATTATCTACAATTTATTTCACTAGAAGTTGGCCATTTCTGAAGTGGTGTTCAGTGAGGACATAAATGTTTCACACATAGTTTAATCAGCAAAAGACAAAACTTGTTGTAACAGCACTAGCTAAAATTTGAAATACAAAATTTTGGGATGGATGTTTTTCTCCAGGAAAAGCCACTGCAGTTTGATTAAGTTATTCTCAGAATTGTTACAGTGCAGGGGGAGGCTGTTCAACCAGTTATTTCTGTGCTGGCTCTCTGAAGGAACAATTCAACTAGTTAACTGACATTTGGTAAAAATGTATTGGATATAACTGCTATTAAAAAATAATAATTCTGCAGATACATGTCCTTACTTCCTCAATTGTGCAACATTGAAGTACGTTGATGTAAAAATAGTTCAATACTAGGAACTTATTTCTGCTTCAGCATGATTGCATAACTTCTGCTGACAAAACAATTCCACTTGGAGCAAAACACTTGGAGAAGTCCCCCTTTCCCTTCTCTTTGTTGCATCAGTGCACGTTGAATAGTGTTCCCCAAGATTTTGTTCATCATGACCTTAAATGGCAAGTGTCACCAGTTATTCAGTTTTGAGTGGGCATCAGAGCTGAGCTCAATCCACAGCTTCACTGGGCATGTGTCCACTGCTGATAGTGAGTCACTGAAGGGAACAAACTCTGCTTCATTTAATCTTTCCTGTATCTTTCAACATCGATTGTGATCGGTGAATCCACGAGATCCAATGCTTTAATAGTTGTGTTTCAATATCAATTGTGTCCTTACATTGACCGCTTGCAGTCAACTAGAAAAAAAAATTTGTCAAATGCTCCTCAACAAAAAAAAAGGCTGACAGGGAACTCCAGTCCAACTTTACCCCATCTGTACTCTTTAGATATCTCCCAACAAAAGGTCACTGTTGATAATCAGCAACAGTGAGGAACAGATAGTGAGACAACAGCTGGAGGACATGATGTAAAATAAGAACAAAGAATAGTCTATACAGCCCATCAAACCATTCCATCTTAAATCATGAGTGATCACTATTGTGGAGTCTGTTCCTCAATCCTAGGATATTAAAGGAAGTAGCTTTGGAATTACTGGTAGTAACCTTGCAAAATCCTTAGATTCTGGAAATGTACCAGAGGACTGGAAAACTGCCAACGCAATACCTTTAGTCAAAAAAGGGAAGGACTCCAAAAAGGGTAACTATAGACCAGTAAGCCCAACATCTGTTATTGGCAAAATGTTAGAGTCTATTATAAAGGAATAAGAGCAGAGCATTTAGAAATACAAAATAGAAATGCATGGTGGCTCAGTGGTTACACCACTGCCTCACAGCACCAAAGACCCAGGTTTGATTCCACCCTCTGCGTGGATCTCTGCCGGGTGCTCTGGGTTCCTCCTACAGTCCAAAGATGCGCAGGTTAGGTGGATTGGCCATGGGGAAACTTCCCAGTGTTCAGGGATGTGCAGGTTAGGTGGATTAGCTGTGGGGATTAGGTAGGGTCTGAGTGGAATACTCTTCAGAGGGTTGGTACAGACTTGATGGGCTGAATAGCCTCTTTCTGTATTGTAGTGATTCTATTCTATTATCAGGGAGAGTCAGCTGGTTTCATGAAGGGAAAATCATGCCTGACAAATTTATTCCAATTCTTTGAGGAGGTATCAAGCAAGGTTTAAAAGAAAGCAGTAGCTATAACATATTTGGATTTCCAGAAGATATTTGATAATATACCATATGTCAGGCTACTTAATAAGAGCAATTAGACCGCTAGACATAACAGGCCCACATTTAATTCCACTAATCTCTTTCTATTTGACTGCCTATAAAAATATTTACAACATGTTTCAAGACTATAAGATGAGTCAGCAGAAGGCTATTCAGCCCATTGCATCTGCTCCACCATTCAATGAGATCACGGCTGATCTGATAGTTCTCCATTGTAGCAACAAACCTGAGGATTGGGAGCAGTTCAGTTTTTAAAGGAGAACAAGGATTTATTAAGAGGGGGAAAATATTAGTCCAACAGTAAGCTTGCAGGGTACATTCAAACTGATCATAAAAGTTTCTATAGGTATGTGAGGAGTGAAGAAAAATGTAGGTCTTTTACAGTCAAAAATAGGCGCACAGTTGTAATGGGAACAAAGATGTGGCAGACCAATAAATACATATTTTGGTTCCCTCTTCACAAAAGACACAAATAATATCCCAAAAATGTTGGAGAACACAGGGTCTAGTGAGAGGCAGGATCTGAAGAAAATCAGTATTAGTAGGGAAATAGTGTTGGAAAATTGCTGGGATTAAGACTGATAAAGCCCAATGGTCCAACAATCTATATCCCAAAGTACTTAAGGAAGTGGCCGTAGAAATAGTGGATGCATTGGTGGTCATCTCTCAAGGTTTTATAGACTCTGAAATGGTTCCTATAGATTGGAGAATTGCCAATGTAACCCAATTATTTACAACAGGAAATAGGGCGAAAACAGAGAATTAAGGACAGGTTAGCATGACATCTTTGGTAGGGAAAATGCTAAAGTCCATTATAAAACATTCAATAGCAGAGCACTTGGAAAACAGTGACAGGATTTGGCAGAGTAAGCATGGATTTACAAAAGGGAAACGAGTAGAGTTCTTAACGGGGAACCAGTAGATGTGGTTTAATTGGACCTTCAAAAGGCTTTCAATAAGGCCCCAAATAAGAGATTAACATGTAAGATTAAAGTGCGTGGGACCTGGGTGGGGGGAGACGACAGACGTGGATAAAGAACTGGTTGGTGGACAGTAGGAACAAACAGGTCTTTTTCTGAGTGGCATGGAGTGACTAGTGGGATCAGAGCTTGGATGCCTGCCATTCACAACTTCTCTTAATAATTTAAATGAGGGAACTAAACATAATATCTCCAAGCTTGCAGACAACACAAAGGTGGCTGGGAGGGTGAGCTGTGAGGAGGATGCAGCAATGCTTCAGTGTGATTTGGACAAGTTGAGTGAGTGGGCAAATGCATGGCAAATGAAGTATAATGTGGATAAATGTGAAATATCCACTTTGGTAGTAAAAACAGGAAGGCAGATTATTTGACTGGTGATAGATTGGAAAAGGGGGAGGTGCAATGTGACCTGGGTGTCCTTGAACAGCTGTCCAATTGTACAAAAGTATGCTTTCAGATGCAGCAGGCGATGAAGATGACAAATGGTATGTTGGCCTTCATAGCAGAAGGATTCAAACACAGGAGCAGGGATGTCTTGCTGCAATTGCACAGGGTCTTGGTGAAACCACAGCTGGAATATCGAGTGCAGTTTTGGTCTCCTCATCTAAGAAAGGATCTTCTGGCTATGGAAGGATTGCAATGAAGGTTTACCAAGCTGATTCCTGAGATAGCAAGACTGACATTTAAGAGAGACTGGATCAGTTAGGACTATATTCATTGGAGTTTAGAAGTACAAAAGGGACCTTGGTGTACAAGTCCATAGATCCTGAAGGTGCCAGCACCAGCAGACATGGTGGTGAAGAGGGCATATGGGATGCTTGCCTTCATTAGCTGGGGCTAACAACTTTATGGGTTAGGCCACAGATGGAACTTGTGTGCAGTTCTGGTCACTATGCCATAGTAGATTATGGACCAAGTACAGGTAAATGGTATTAGTGCAGTTTGGTAATCAACATAGACATGGTGGGCTGAAGGGCCTATTTCTATGGCAGGTAACTGTAATGAGTGGGGATCTCAGAAACTTATAAAATTCGAACAGGACTAGACTAGTAAACACAGGAAGGATGTTCCTGATGCCTGGATAGTCCAGAACCAGAGATCACAGTTTAAGGATACAGGGTAGGCCATTTAAAATTGTGATGAGAACAAATTTCTTCACCCAGAGAGTGGTGAGCCTGTGGAAGCACCGGAACAAAAAATGATTGAGGCCAAAACACTGCATGCTTTCAAGGAGGAGTTGGATATTGTTCTCAGAGTTAAAGGAATCAAATGGTATGGGGAGAAAAAGGGACAAGAGTTGGCTGATCAGCCATTATCATATAGAATAGTGGACAGCCTCAAAGGGCCGAATGGCCTAATCCTATTTTCTATATTTCTACCAAGGAGCCCATTAAAAATGTAAGTCAATGAAAATTTAGGGGAAAACATTCCACTGGTTGATGTCAGCGCTCAAAATACATGAAAGTGGAAGATGAATTTACTCCAAAAGTCCCCAATACACCTTAGAAAATTCAATTACTGGGGCCACCGAATGAGACAAGTCACCCCCTTACATACAATGGACAGAACATCTGAGGAGCTACTCCTCCAATCACAGGTTGGTATTCTCCCACTGGAAGTGCACAAACTCTTTGGAAAGTACGTGGTGAGTATGGGGAAATAATTAGAGCCAGAACGACTTTTCGTTTGGACTAGGGCTTTTGACAGGAGTTGGACCTTTCAGAGCTTTTGCCTTGGTTGGTGCCTTGGGCCAGGCCAGGGGAGGGAGTGGCTGCTGAGGGAGTCAGAGGTGTTGCTGGATAGATGTCACAAGATGGGGGTTGGACGAATGAGGAGACTGCAAAGGAAGTCGGGGAAAGGCCCCTCCTCAAATTTTGTTTTATGATGCGCGTGAAGCCTCTTTGGAACATTTAATTAAACAGACTATATAAGTTGCTGCCTGCTACTCTTGTCCTTCAATGTAGGAGGTCATGCATTGAAAGGAACTATCGAAGGTGCCTCAGTAAGTTTCTGCAGCAACAAGAAACAATGTAGATGCAATGCTGCCACCACACCTGGTGATGGAAGCCTGATGAAGGGTGTGCCAATCATGTGGGATACTTTGCCCTGAATGATGTGAAGCTTCTTCATTAATTATGTGTTAACCAAATTAAGGTTAAGGATGTACATAGCAGGCATTGATTGATTAACCTCGAGATTATATAAAAGTGACTTTCTTCTGCAACTCACAAAATCAAATTTCTCTAAATTTATGTTGACCTTTACAATTTGATTTTTGCTACAGTGCCCCTTTAAGAAGTGTCACTTTTTAATGAGCTAAGTTTATTTCTTAAGTGAGATATCCAGAGAGACATCACCTCCACCACTTTAAATGCTGGTTAAATTAATTAGTTCATTCAGTTGATTTGATGTAACCAAGTTTGAAAATATAAAAAGATTTTGAGCAACAGGTTCTGTAGGAGTTGGGCTGTATCATCGTCATCATCCCAAAGATTAGATTTTTTAAAAATAAGTCTGTTTTAATTTTTGTAGTCTCTGTTAGTGTATTGAGGTTTTGGTAGTGCGCCACTAAGGACTGTTCAAAACATTTATTTATTTAAAAGAATACAAAGACATTTGCCGTGGTGGTGACATGAGTTGGCAATGTGCTGGCTGGTGGAAGAGTGTGCTAGATGAATCCACAAGCTTTGCATTATGGATATCCAGCTTGTAGCCAATATCATCCACAGCTCACGCTTTTGGTGCTCAGAGGATGGATTCAATGTGGTTCATACATGTGGTGGATTCTGGTCCAAAGTAACTCCTGTTCAGATGAAACTTCACTTTGGCCTTGGGTGCGAAACCTCCCTTTGCAGCCCCACGCTGAAATATGAAAGGTCTCCTGGAAATCCTCACCATCTTGTTCTGATTTCTAGGAGGCTTTTCCTATTTTGGCTGCTGCTCAGAGCTGGCAATGCTATGCAATAAAAGGCATAGTGCATGTCCTCGAATCTGCCTACATGGTTAGTGGACTCCCAGGTTGTCTGTCCCAGGTTGTCTGTATTTCCTGGGATCTTATGGAGTCCACATGCTGCGTGTAAGCAGGTTGCCACCTGTTTCAACAGTGGTAGTGTTGTTATCGAATGTATTGATGATTTGACTCTCTTTTGTTGGAGATGGTCATTGCCTGGCACTTGTGTGGTGTGAATGTTACTTGCCTCTTACAAGCCCAAACCTGAATGAGCTAAATCATCTTTTTTCAATCCATGTTTAACATTTAATATTCAAACAGCAAGGAAAAGTACAATGAAATAACAGTTTGCATTTTCAACAGGCTTCGCTTCGAAAGACTGTACTGTAACTGTCAATCAAGAACCTTTCATTGAAGGTCACTTGACCGAAAATGTGACCATCAACTGCACTTTCACGCATGCCAATTGCTTCAACACACCTAAAGTACTGTGGTTCAGGATCAACACCAACCAAACGACAAATCTGTGCTCGGGAGCCTGTTCAAGTGAATCGTCTAATGGGAGGTTTACTTTGTCCGGCACAAGTTCTGGTGGCAATGCTGCCTTGAGAATTCAGCAACTGACCAAAGCAGACAACGGCATGTATTACTGTGGTGTAGCCTTCCAGAAATCCCCTTCCATCAAGTCCAAACAAATGGGAAATGGTACAATGCTGGTGCTCAAAGGTCAGTTACACAGATTTTAAGTTTGTTAGAAAGGGATAGTATCAGCGCATTGTACACCAGTGCAGAAAAAGTGTATAATTGTTGCATGACCTGTGTATGTTTGAAAACACTTCTGCATATTAAATAAATGAACAAAACTATAGCAAATGGATCGGGGTTGGGGGGGGGTGGCATAGTGAGTGTAACTGAAGGCAAATTATTGACCTGATTAGGACCAGAACAGAGGGAGACTAAGATTAAGGATAATGGGCAGGTATTCTATTGAGCAGGACGAGATCAATGATGCCCTAGCAGGGTTTGCGCTGGGGTCTCACTTTATTTATTAATGAGATGATGCAGTCGAAAGTCATGGGCAAAGGTGAGGTCATCCACTTTGGACCTAAAAGGGAGAAGAAAAAGTATTTTCCAAATGGTGACAGGCTAGAACCTGGGCTTCAAGGGTTAAGCTACAAGGAGACATTACACAAACTAGGTTGCATTCTCCAATTTAGAAGGTTGAGGGCTGATCCGAACAACATTCAAGATTTTAAAGGAAACAGAGTAGAATGTGAGTAATCATTTTCATCGGTCAGGGAGTCTGGGAGTAGGGGACTGAGCCAAAATTTTCAGGAGTAAGATCGTGAAATATTTCCCCATGCAAATGGTGGTAAAAGTTTGAAACTCTGTCTACTGCTCTTATTACTCATACGAGGTCAATTGTAAATTTAAAACTTGAGCTAGACAGACTTCGCTAACCAAATAGTCAGGTCCCTGATCAGCCAAGACTTTATTGAATTGTAGAGAAGTTCAAGGGGTTAAATAGCACCCCCTACTGCTTGGGTTCTTTGAGAAAACATGAACATCACAACCCACTACATAGTCAGTCATAAAAAAGTTTTTAAACATTAGTTTGTGGGGCTTGTCAACTACAAGTTATATCACTGCATAAGCTAGTGGTCTCCATTTGTAAGGTGTATATGTTACGGTCCCTGTGTTGGAAGGTGGATCAAAGGCTAATTTATCATTGAGACACCTAAATAATCTGCATAAGTGCACACTTTTTGAAGGCTTTTTTTGACAGGGTGTCCTTTAACATTAATTTTACTGCAGTCTTAATTCACTTGACCTTGTGAATTTACACCTTGTCTCGTGCGAAATGCATTTTCTCATTCTCTTATGGAAACTTACATTGGCAGCTGAACAAATTATTGATCTCCAATCATCATTAGAACATCAATTACAGACGAACTGGGACTTAAGCTAGGTTAAATGGGGCTGTTTAGTTTTGAATATCATGAAGTGTAGAAAATTTACAAAAGGTTACTCCAGAACAGAGTTTATATCTATCAAAATAGATTGGAGCTCTTTACAATGGCAAAGGTGAAGGAGGTGACTCCATAGCAATCTTAAGTTTACGAGACAGTTTCTTCGGCTAGATGTAGACAAGATGTTTCCACTTGTCATAGAATCCCCAGAGTGTGGAAGCAGGCCATTTGGCCCACTGATTCCACACCAACCCTCTGAACAGCATTCCACTCAGACCTACCTCCCGTCCCCCCCTATTCCTGTAACCCTGCATTTCCCATGGCTAAGCCACATAGCCTGCACATCCATGGACACTATGGGCAATTTAGCATGGCCAATCTACGTAACCCTTCACACTTTTGGGATGTGGGAGGAAATGAGAGCAGCCGGAGGAAACCCACGGAGACACGGGGAGAATGTGCAAACTCCACCCAGTGCACCATGTTCCACCTAAAATATCCACATGGACTAGTTTGGCCAAATAGCCTGTTTCTGAGCTGTCATTCCTTCTGCCACAACACCTATCTGCTCTGGGCTGACTCTTACCTATGCTGTTTGCCGTAGCAGAAAAGTGTGCAAAATGGCACACATTTGTCAAGTTCATCAATTCAACCCAAGCTCCTGTAAAGAACAGAAATTTCAGGAGCTGGGGCAACAATGGCCACTGAAGTACAACAATTTCTGTTTGATACTAAATATGGTCTAGTGAAGATTAAGAGATTTGTATATTTTTAATTGCAGGACCTACTGACATAGGATCAGATCTATTGCTCCAATCAACACTGATACTCATTCTCACCCTATACACCATCTGCATCACCATTCTCCTTGCCGTGAGTTGCTGAAAGCCACTTTCAACTTCTAGTTTTCCATTCAGGGAGAAATTGAACAAGTGCAAAGGAAGAGGAATTTTGGGGCAGCTCAGGGATGTTCTTTTAAAAATTCATTCTCGGGATGTTGAGGTCCCGGCAAGTCTATCCTAATTGCCTATCTCTCTGGTCATTGTTCTTCTTATTTATTCCAGCAACATCCTTTATAATTTTGAACGTGTCTATTAAACCTCCCATTAGCCTTCTCTGCTCCAATCCAAACAGTCCACATAACCGAAGCCCTTCATCCAGAGATAACATCCCAAACAAATCTCGTTTGCATTTCCATTGGTGGCCCAGATGTGGCCACAACACTCCAGTGTTTTATAAAATGTTCACCTAAATTCCTTGCTTTAGTACTCCATGCCTCTACTTGCATTGGGTGCAGAACTGAAGAAGAAACAAAGGCAAATCTGATTCAGTGCCAAAACCTCCAAAGGGAAGGCCAAGGAGGTAGGTCCTGAACCCAAGCCAGAATGGATGTCAAACTCCAAGGTGTTGTCACTAATTTGATCCACACCGATTGTCCAGCCAACTAAACTTATCAACCTCCTCTGCTAAGGAGTCTTTGGTTGATTATGATAACTTACACATTTGCTGCAGACTGGGCCTACAGACAGTGATTGTAGAGACACCAATTCCTTTTCATTTCATGAGAAGCAAGGATTCCACCCTCTCCCCACCCACTATTAGTACATGTCGGAAGGATTTACAGATTGATAAAGACAGCAAGTTTCCTTCCTCCAAGGGACAAGAGTGAACCAATCAGGTTTGATGGCAATGAACAGCATCATGGTCACTTTTAATGATCCCAGTTGTTTGTTTGTTTTTATTTCCAATGTTTTTTCTTTCAACTGTATTGAAAATCACCCTTGTCTACATTACTAGTCTAGCAACACAACCAATGCTGCCTGAATCCATTGCTATACTGAACAAGCTGTGCTTGATAATGGAAATTGGTTTGTGTCACTTACGTGATGTGTGGTTTAAATGGCAAGGACTGGACTTTTGAAATTTGTAATTAAGGTCAACAGTGCAGCTTCCATTTCTCATTTGCTTCTATCTTTCTACAGCAAACCATCAGATTGATGCAGCAGGCTAATTCCAATCATAACCACAGCAGAAACGATGTACGTATACATTGTTATCATTTTAGTTGGAAATGCATCCATCTTTTAGAACGGTGTTACAAATTAAGGATCTTTCTATATATTCTGGGCTGTAACAATCCAAAAGGGACAAAGCACCAGTCAGAACACTAGAAGAACAGGGAATGACTCTCCTCCGTCCCAACTATGTCCCATCAGATAATCATCCATCAACCAAAAAATCCAAAAGCAACAAAAGCAAACTGCACATTTAGTACTCTTAACATCCGGAATCTCACCGGGCAACCGTCGGCTGCTGCCTTAAAATGTAGGCCAGTGTTTTCAATTCTTTTTCTTCCCATAAGGGCCCCATTTAAAGGCCAGAGATATAGAAAAAAGAACAAAGAAAATTACAGCACAGGAACAGGCCCTTCGGCCCTCCAAGCCTGCGCCGATCCACATCCTCTATCTAAACCTATCACCTATTTTCCAAGGATCTGTATCCCTCTGCTCCCTGCCCATTCATGTATCTATCTAGATACATCATAAATGCGCTATCGTGCCCGCCTCTACCACCTCCGCTGGCAACACGTTCCAGGCACCCACCACCCTCTGTGTAAAGAACTTTCCACGCATATCTCCCTTAAACTTTTCCCCTCTCACCTTGAAATCGTGACCCCTATTAATTGAGTGCCCACTCGGGGAAAAAGCTTCTTGATATCCACCCTGTCTATACCTCTCATGATTTTGTAGACCTCAATCAGGTCCCCCCTCAACCTCTGTCTTTCTAATGTAAATAATCCTAATCTACTCAACCTCTCTTCATAGCTGGCGCCCTCCATACCAGATAACATCCTGGTGAACCTCCTCTGCACCCTCTCCAAAGCATCCCCATCTTTTTGGTAATGTGGCGACCAGAACTGTACGCAGTATTCCAAATGTGGTCGAACCAAAGTCCTATACAACTGTAACATGACCTGCCAACTCTTGTACTCAATACGCCGTCCGATGAATGAAAGCATGCCGTATGCCTTCTTGACCACTCTATCAACCTGCATTGCCACCTTCAGGGTACAATGGACCTGAACACTCAGATCTCTCTTTGCATCAATTTTCCCCAGGGCTTTTCCATTTACCATATAGTTCGCTCTTGAATTGGATCTTCCAAAATGCATCACCTTGCATTTACCTGGATTGAACTCCATCTGCCATTTCTCGGCTCAACTCTCCAATCTATCTATATTCTGCTGCATTCTCCGACAGTCCCCTTCACTATCTGCTACTCCACCAATCTTGGTGTCATCTGCAAACTTGCTAATCAGACCATCTATACCTTCCTCCAGATCATTTATGTATATCACAAACAACAGTGGTCCCAACATGGATCCCTGTGGAACACGACTGGTCACAGTTCTCCATTTTAAGAAAATCCCTTCCACTACAACTCTGTCTCCTGTTGCCCAGCCAGTTCTCTATCCATATATCATCACCATATATCATGATGAATCCCGTCCAAACACAACTGTGAGAGCTATAGCTGCAGGAGGGTACTTGGGAGATGGGGTGGAGTGAGTGGGTGGCAGACCTGAAAGAACAGGACACATTGAGTGTACTGGGTTATAAAAGGATCTGTTTTTTAAAATCAAGCACGCATAGCTTACTATTTTTGCTGTTGCAGAGGCCAGGCACCAAGGTTTACATTTTGGTTATGCCCACAGTTTGAGAAAAATGCAAGGATTATATTTGTGACTGTATAATTGTTCACTCAGTCAAAACTCCAAGCAAGCCACTGACCACAAACCCTGATATGGACCCTTTCTTTCAGGAGTACAAAGGCTTTAAGTCCCACTCTGAAGAACTGAACTCACAAATCTAGGCTGAAGCTCCCAGTGCAAACCGGAGGGAATGCAGCACTGCCAGAGGATCTCCTGCACACGGAACTTTTAAGTGCCTTCTCTTCACCCATACTCCCGTAGATGTAAATGGCACCACTCTGAAGAACAGCAGGGATATTCACCCTGAAATCTTCAGCCACTGTATATCCTTAAAAATCACAAAAACTGATTATTTGGTCAATACCAAATGGCTGCTGTGGGAGGTCCTCTGTACAAATGGGTTGCCATGTTTCCTACATTACAACAGTGTCTACAATTTTAAAAAGTGCTTCATTAGTTTTAAAGCACTTTGGGACATTTGGCGATTGCAAAAGGCACTATCAAAATGCAAATAATCTTTTCAAGATTTGTCCCTCCAAACTTCTGTCTGACTATTTTGTGTTATCTGCCCACAGCCAAATGAAGAACAGAAGAGCCGAGCTTTCAAGGACCTTGCACTGGAATTCAACAAAAAGTACAGAAATAAAAAGCAAGAGACAGAAGTAAGTGAAGAAAAGGTGAGAATCGGGATAAATATAGCCTTTGTTTGTGAAAGAAAACTCTGTACAAGGAGCTTATTGAATGAGAGGAAGCAGGTTCTTGCTGCACTGAGTGACTGACAGAAACTGAACTCATTCAGAACCCATTCACATGCACAGAATTAAAATCAGGTCCACCTGTGTTTTTTAAGCATGTGCTCTTAGGAGTCATTTTCAATTTCATTGCAGCCTCTTACAAATGCTGGAAAGGTACATATACTGTTAAGTTTCAGAAGACAAGATGGGAAACTAGGACAAGAAATCTCATGAGATAAGTGTTGCAAACCTTCCTGAATGTAATATCCTGCTGGTAACTGTAGTGATTATAATTAGGTCAGCCAGGTGGATCTCATAGAATGAGTTCCCTGATTGGGGCTGTTAATCTGGTCCAATCAGGGAGTCCTGGCTGACACATAAACAGGAGTGCCAGGGGTTCTGTTCATTCAGAGCTAGCTCTGAGGAAACTGAACCAGTGTCAAATACTTTCCATGTGTAAATAAAGGGTGACTTGGTGAAGCGATACCAGCCTCTGGGGAGTTATTTCATTAACGTCTTTGTAGATACCTGTCAGTTTCAGTTTCATTATACCTGCACCTGATCATTATGGGATGAAGTAACAACCTCAGGATTAGTCTGTTATCACAGAGGTGCATTCTGTTTAATCCGTTCACAGGATGTAAATGTTGCTGTCAAGGCCAGAGTTTATTGCCCATCCCTGATTACCCTGGGGAAGGTGATGGTGAGCTACTTTCCTGAACTGGCATAGTCCAGATGATGTTGATATACTCACAGTGCTGTTCCAGGATTTGGACCCAGCAATAGTGAAGGAACAGAAATACAGTTCCAAGTCAGGATGGTGTATGGTTTGGAAGGGAACTTGCAGGTGGTGGTGTTTCCATTTGCTTGCTGCCCCTGCATATGAGATGATAGAGGATTTTTATTCTTTATGGGATGAGGGTGTCACTGGCTAGGAGCATTTATTGCCCATCCCTAATTGCCCAGAGGGCAGTTGACAGTCAACCACATTGCTGTGGGTCTGGAGTCACATGTAGGTCAGACCAGGTACGGATGGCAGTGAACCAGATGGGTTTTTCCGACAATCGATTCATGGTCATTAGATTCTTAATTCCAGATATTTTATTGAATCCAAATTCCACCATCTGCTGTGGCGTGATTTGAACCCGGGTCCCCAGAATGTTATCTGGGTCTCTGGATTAACAGTCCAGTGATAATACCACGAGGCCATCGCCTCCCTGACAGGTTGTGAGGTTGGAAGATGCTGAAGGCAGCTTGGTGAGCTGCTGCAGTGCATTTTGTAGAAAGTCATATAACACGGAAACAGAAACTTTGGTCCAACTTGCCCACAACGACCAGTTTTCGAAACTAAACTAGTTCCATCTGCCTGTGTTTGGCCCATATGATTCTAACCGTTCCTATTCATGTATCTGTCCAGATGTCCTTTAAATATTGTAACTGTACCTGTATTACCACTTCCTCTGGCAGTTCATTCCATATATGCACCATCTCTGCGTGAAAAAGTTGTCCCTCAGTCCCTTTTAAATCTTTCCCTCCCACCTTAAATCTATGCTGTCTAGTTTTGAACTCCCCTACCCTAGGGAAAAGACCTTTACTGTTCAACAGATGGTACCTACTGTAGCCACTGTGCACTAATGGTGGATGGAGTGAATGTTTAAGGTGGTGAATGGGCTGTTTATCAAACAGATTCCTTTGTCTTGGATTTCGTTGTCCTTCTTGCGTTACATAGAAACTCGGAGCAGGAGTAGGTCATTCACCCTTCGAGCCTGCTCTAACCTTCTATTTGATTACGGCCGATCCTCTGTTGTTTGAGTTTCTTTCATTCTGTGTCTGATACTACCTCTCTCACTAACACCTGAAGGAGGAGCGAGGCTCCGAAAGCTTGCGTTTTCAAATAAACCTGTTGGACTATAACCTGGTGTCGTGTGATTCCTGACCTTGTCAAAATACAATGAGGAACATTTTCTTGCCTAAGTCTGGTTTATCTCAATACTGTCAAGGACAAGTAAAGAAGTTTCAACCCAGTTATAGTCTGGTGCTACTCCAAGTTGGGGAGGTCGGGCTAATTTAATGTTATTTCTAATGTGGTCACTGCATAACAATGTCTGTTCTTTTGTATTTGTAGCAAGAGGCACAACTTCAATGTGCTCAGTACGATGACAGTATCTATCAAAATGCCTGAGGGTTCCATCACCAAGCAACTAAAATGAATGGAATTCCCAAGACAGTGTTAATAGACTTTCATGTGGAAAAGATAAAGGAGGCTCTCAGTTAACAAGCTTAACCAGCAGGCAGCAATGCAAGAGGGATCTGTGTGTTAAGATTTCAATCTGTGTTTAGTCCACGTTTTTCATTCTTCGGAGCTGATCGTGTCATATCCAGACAGCATTGCTTCCCTTCATTTCAATCTTCTCTTTGAACTAATTAAATTCAGACCTGTTCCTGAAGTCTATTATGAATGGCTAATTGATGATAAGGGTCAACTTGATATCAAAATCTTTTGAGCAACCGATAACCCAGGAAAGAGTTTGCATACCACAGTCAAAAGGGAGACGCTCGTGGTACAGTCCCTACCCCTGGACTGGGAGGCCTGAGTCAAGTCCCCATCTGCTTCAGAGGTGTGTAATAACATCTCCGAACAGGTTGATCAGAGAGAAATAAAGGTTAACAAAAATAGGAAGACTCTTGTTGCCCAGTGTTAATGTCCCTACCTCTGAGCCAGGAGGCCCAGGTTCAAGTCCCACCTGATCCAGACGTGTCATAACTCTGACCAGGTTGATTAGAAAATAATACCAAAATTAAACGGTGTTTATTGGTTCCCAGTAGAACACTAGAGAATACAAACTGCTTGATCAGCAGCTCTTCCACCACTTTAAAAACTACTCCCTTCACCAACTCGATGCACAGTGGCAGCAGTGTGTACCATCCAGGAGATGCAATGCAACAACTCACCAAGGCTCCTTCAACAGCACCTTCCAATCCTGCAAAATGTATCACCTAGAAGAACAACAGCTACCGACACGTAGGAACACCACCACCTTCAAGTTATCACCACATGCCAGGAAACATACTGCACTTCTTCAACGTCGGTCAAAATCCTGGAACTGTTTCCTGAACAGCACTGAGGGTATACCTATGCTGCACAGAGTGCAGTGGTTCAAAAAGGGAAATCATCACCACTTTCTCAAGAGCAAACAGAAATTGCAATAAATGCTGACCTTGCCAGTGATCTAATCAACAGACAGCTGACACCAAACAGTAACTAAGGAAGTAAACCAACAGTGCTGATTAGGACATGAACACTTACTTTGCTTCTCATCTCACGAAAACACACAAGCTTGAAGTTCACATCAGATAGGGTAATTGAGATCACATGACAAAAGTGGTCACATGTAGCTTGTAACAAATGTATTGAACAACCCTGTACTGCACAGCCCAATGACAATGTTGTGAGAATGTCAGAGGCTCAATAAATTGGGCAATTCCACATTCCAAGCTGACGGAAAGGCTGTGAAAAGAAAAATAATCCAGACTGAGGTTTGCACACAGACTGTTTTAATAAAATGCCATTTACCTCCAATCCAGATTGACAGCGTTTAGTTTCCTGTTCTGTTTTCTCTCAATGGTTTTGCAGTTTGAGCAGCAGAAACTTTATGACTTAACTTATTTAAAAGGTTACAGTGTCAGGATCCCCAACCCATCCTGGACTATTTTATTGTGCAACTTACCATTTTCCACATAGGGTTGGAAGGGCAAGACCACAGCCAATATCAGACGTCCTTCACTTGGCTCCAGAGCGTTCCTGATGTCCTTCAGTAGAGTCAAAGGTCGATCACACCGATCCAGCAAGTTTAGACAGCTAATCATATTGTAATAAAAGCCAGTGTCCTGCCACTCATCAATCCCCAGGACTCTGCAAAGTGCAAGGGAAACACATTTTAAGTAAAAACATTTCAACGTAGCATCTTCCAAACCTGTAAACTCTATCACCATGAAAGACATGAGCATCAGGTGCATGGGAACTCCACTGCCTGCAATTTCCTCTCTGAGTCAGTCAGTCCTTTAATGACATTGGACCAAAATCCTGGAATTCCCTCCCTAACTGCACTGTCAGTGCATCTATCCCCCAAGGACCACAGCAGTTCAAGGCAGTGACTCACTGCCACCTTCTCAAAAGAGAAATAAGGCTTGGCAATGAATGCTGGACTTGTTGTGGTTACTGTGAAGTGGCCTAGCAAACACTGCCTGTGAGAAAGGCATCATTACTAGAAACAGAAGGGTAATGTGGCGTTGTCAATATTGTTCATTGAAAAAGCAGCACCTGAATCCACAGGTTTGGTTACACAATCTGCTCTTGAAGGAAATGAGCACACAACGATTTTGTCTTAGTTATTAAAAGGCTGATCAGTCTGCGAAGCAGCTTACAGAGTCAGGGGTTGAACAAGAAGCTTTACTGGATTTCAGGATGGAAACCAAACAGATGCTTGTCAACCAATGGAAATGGGGAGTCATTAAGGAAATGGTGGACAGATGAGCTAGATAGGCTTAATGTCTTCTTCTGTCTCTAACCATTACAATCTTACTATCAGATTCACTTGCTTTTGTTTTATGCAATATCATGCAAAAATCTTCTTTAAGTCATTGTAATGTTTTATGTAGAAATGCTGTGTTACATGCAAGCATCAAGTTGCCTAGCAAACCATTACAACAACAAAACGTGCACTTATATATCAGCTTTAATATATTTAACTATCAAGACACTGCATAGGAGTACTATGAAACAAAATTTGACACCAAGCAGCAAGCTATGTAAGCAGATATTAGGGGAGATAACCAAAAAATCAAAGGAGAGATTAGAATCTTGGAGGGATCAAAAAACAAATATGAGAATTTTGAAACTGAAGTGCTGCCGAACCAGCACCCAGTGTAGGTCAGCAAGCACCGAGATGCTGGGTGATGAGAGTTGGTGTGAGCCATTGCTCAGTCAGCAGGTTTTGGATGCTTTTAATATGGGAGGTCAGCCAAAAGTGTATTAGAATGGTCAAGTCTAGTGTAACAAAGATATGGCTTGTTACCTTTGCTAGTGAGGGTGCAGTGACCATAAAACCATAAAATACAGGAGTAGAATAAGCCATTTGGCCCATCAAGTCTGATCCGCTATTTGATCATGGCTGATGTGTTTCTCAAACCCTTTCTCCCTCCTTCTCCCCATAACCCTTGATCCCCTTACTAATCAAGAATCTCTCTCTTTTTTAAATACCTGACTTGGCCTCCACAACTTTCTGTAGCAATGTGGCAAATGCTAAGCTAGCATTTGTTACCCATTCCTTATTGCCCAAAGGGTAATTAACAGTAAACCACTTGCTATGGTTCCAAAGTCACATACAGGTCAGACTGGGTAAGAATGGCAGCTTTCCCCTTCCCTAAAGAATATCAGTAAACCAGAAGGTTTTTTTTTAAAGACAATCAACAACAGTTACAAGGTCACTATTAGGCCAACTTTCAATCCCAAATTTTTACTGAATTAAAATTTCACCATCTACTGTGGCAGGATTCAAATCCACATACCCAGAAGAACTTCGTGGATTTCAGGATTACAAATCCAGGGTCATTACTATCATAGCCCCTGCTTCCCTTAAATTCAGTCGAATGTGGTTCAAATCTTATTATAGCAGTTTAGAAATTTGAATTCAATTGGGAATAAAAAGCTGTGATCAGTAAAAGTGACCATAAAGTTGTCAGATTTTCATGACAATCTGACCATCCTCTGGGGAAGGATACCTGACCTTACCCAGTCCAGAATTTTTGTCCCAATTAAACATGGATGATTGGCTCTGGTGTAGCTCAACACATTATTCAGTTGTATGAAACCACGACCAGCAAATAGGGATAGATAGGATTTTATATATTACCTAGTTAAACAGATGCTTCTGTAGACCTCCTGTTTAGTACAGAGATGGAAGTTTTCATTTTACCTGTACTGTTTCTTTTTAAGTTGCCATTTCATGGTAGGAGACACTTCAGTCACATAGACCTCTTCAAAATGGGGGCTGACAATTTTAGTAACCTCTCCGTCTCCAGCCCCAAGATCAAGCACTCTGGCTGCCCTCCAGTCTGGTCCTACTCTCAGCAGCCGAAGAAATTGCTCTTCAGAGAAGACAAACATCGATCCTCTTCCCAGCAGCCTGTATCAATGAAGAGAAAGAGACATAGAATGCACGGCACAGAAACAGGTCTCTCAACCCACTGGTGCAGGCCACGTGAGCATCTTTCCATCTTCTCCTCAACTCGCACTGAGTGTATCCCACTAACCCTTTCATGCATTTATCCCGCCTTCCCTTAAAAGCATCTTGCTTATTCATCTGAACAATAGCTCTGGAAACAGGTTCTATATTCTCACTTTATCTCTAGTTAAAGAGGTTTCTCCTGAAATCACTATTGGATTTATTATTGTGTACCTTATACATCTGGCCCCTTGTTTCAGTCTACCCACAAGCAGAAAAAACTCCATTATCTTTTTTAACACTCTCATAATTCTAAAGATCAGGTCGACCCACGGCCTTTCCTTTTCTGGAGAAGTGAGTTCCAACTTGTTCAGTCTTTCCTGACAGTCTTACATTTCAATTCTGGCACTAGCCTCCTGCAACGTCTCTATTTCTGTTTGTAATCAATAACATGCACCTGTTTGGTACGTGGCTGTTAATGGTGCTGCATTGACAGTCCAAAAGTCATCAGTTCAAATCTCACCTTGTAGAAATTGAACTGGACAAGACTGAGAGTTACCACCTACTCTGTCAGCAACTGACTTAACTATTGTCTTGCCACCCTGACCTGGTGTCCACGTAGTCTCTGCCCCCATGACATGGCTAACTCTCAATGTCCTTGGGGCAAGAAATGTATATTATTTAAAACCAGGTCAGTAAATCCAGAGAACAAATAAACAGAAAACAAGAATTCTCAAATATAGCCATACAGACATACAGCACGGAAAGAGACCCTTTGGTCCAACCAGTCCATGGTGACCATAATCCCAAACTAAACTAGTCCCACCTGTCTCTCTGTGTAAAAAAGAGCCCCTCATGTCTGTTTTAAATCTTCCTCCTCTCACCTTAAAAATATGTCCCCTAGTCTTAAAATCCGAACCCTAGGGAAAAGACACCTGCCACTCACCTTATCTATACACCCCATGATTTTATAAATCTCTATGAGTATATTCTAAATCTATTATGAAATAGAAATACAAAATAAACCACAGCACAAATCACCAACAGCAGAATTTTCCACAGCACGCGGTTAATGCTCTCACAGCAGGGAAGCCCAAGATCGCAGTGAAACAGCTGATCTGTGTTGCTGTGCTTTAACTCCATGCCTTAAACAAAACAAAAATTGATTCTGGTATCACTCAGCAAGTAGTAAATTTATCCTCTGAAAATCAATGAAATTTCAAAGAGCATTTCTGCAGTGAGTTCTGGTGTCCTGTGCCTTGCTACTAACAAACATTTTTTAAAGGTTTAAGAGGAGGAAGGATGCATTTAGATCTAGATTTAAGTCTCACCTGCTCCAGAATCTGAATAGGTTGATTGGAACATTTAACATCAATTTAATCATTCATTGCACACACCAACAAAGTTCTGAAAAAAAAAAGCCTGATTTAAAAAAAGCTGATCAAAATAGCAGCTCCAGGGTTTTAACGCAAAGAAACTGAAGGAACTACAGGGGAGTGACACTTGGTGACCTGCTATTGCAGAGAGGCAGGACCAACATAACAGGTAAATAACCCCCTTCTGTTCTATTAAAAAATGATTCTATGAACAGATAATCTAGTTTTTGTCACATTTATGCTAGATTTGTGATTTTTGTGACTTTAATATCATTTAGTTTGAATTTTTGAATTTAGAACTACTGGTATCAATTTTCTGCATGTCTTAAGGAGTTTAAATGATTAACTTGTATTTCTGTAGGTATGGTGATTACTTTTAAATCACAATATTAGAGACACACTTTGGAGAATAATGTGTTTTGTTTACAGTGGGGAAGCATACAAGCAAATGAAGCGAACATTAGACTTTCAGACAGAAGATTCTAGATTTTTTTTTGTCCATAGGTGAAGCATGCACAGCTTGATAAAATGCTTTTTAGTTTCAGTTTGGGGCAGTTTGCAAAAGACTTGCCTGAAGCTGGAAGTGCCATTCAGTTGATCCTGAGAAAGGCAGGTAGTTTTACATCTGTTAAGAAAGGGGTTGCCTCAGTTTGATGATTTTAGTTTAAAGGTTCCAGATGAGAAGTGTTTGATTTAAACTCTGAATGGGTTACTTGATGCTCAGAAAGTCAAAGATCAATTATATGAAGGCTCCAGGAAGTTGCTATCAAATTCTCAAGACCGAAGCCTCAGTTAAATTAAGAACTATAAGTGTGAAAGAGAAGAAAATTCTCTCTGATGTAAAGGAGTGGTTTTTGAGTTTAATGGGATTGTATTTTATCATATCATTCAAAATCTTTAAATTTGAGTTGTATTTAAATAGCTTGGTTTATTCTATTTTATCTTCATTTCTTTTGCATAATAAACTCCTGTTCTAATGTTAAACTGGAATCTGCAGCATTATATTTTGGGTTTCAGTGAAAGACCACTTATTAACATGACCTATCAACCCAAATTTCAGTCTGGGATCTGGCTTGTCCAATAACAACATCAGCTGGTGTCATTACAGTTGGGAGATAAATATTGACTAGGACTCCAGGTCAGAACTCCTCTGGCCACCTTCAAAATGTATCAAAAGAGTGCCAATCATCTTTGTCCACGGCAGGTCAATTTTCATTGACTTTTTGAGCTAAAACCAGCATCCTGCTTTTATTTGTCTTTCACAATACTCATGATCCCTGTTGGTGGGGACTTAGGAGACACTTCACCCTGGGATGAGAGTTACCACCAATATAAGTCAGCCTTGTAACCCCAGAAAATTGGAAATACAAATTTAAAAAAAAAATTAATCCTTTTACCCATTGATGGAAGTCTTGGACATGAACAGACCAAACACAGAAGTGACGAGGGAGTAATAAATCTGAACAAAAAGCCAGCTGGATTTCTCTGAACACTGCCTGAGAAACGCATGTGTCCCCACATCTAGATGACTCTGAACAAACGATGGCTGCAGACACATTGGCAGCAATTCCATGTCACAGGCATACCACTGCAAAAAGAATGACAACGGTGTCAGCACCTTCTCTCGAAATTACTGGTAATTACACATGCTACAAACAATTGTTACTAAAATCTCTTTTTCCTTTGTTACCTCCAAATTTGATTATGCCTACGCCTAGCTGGCATTCCATCTCACACCATCGGCAAACTTGAGCTCTTTCAATATTCTGCTGGCCATATCCTCACTTGCACCAAATCATCAACATCCTTGTACATTCACTCCTGACTAAATAATGCTTCAATTTTAAAACTATTGGCCTTGTTTATAAATCCCTCCATTGCCTCATCTCATACTCTCTATCTCTGTAGTCTGCTCCAGACCCCAAACCCTCTGAGCTCCAATTTTGGGCTTTTGATGCACCTCCTGGATTTTAAGCGCTCCATCACTGTATAGCTGGGGTGGAGGAGAGAGTGGTAGAGAAGTAATGTCACTGGTTTAGCAATCCAGAGGCCCAGGCTAAGGCTCTGGGATATAAGCTCACATCCTTCTACAGCAGCTGGTGGAATTCAAATTCAATTCACAAAACTCTGGAATACAGGTCTGGGGTCCTATGGGTCAATGTTTTGAGTACAGTGACTTTTCCTCTGAACTTCCTCAAAGTCTTGAAGAATGTCACTGGGCTTGAAATATTAACTTTGCTTTCTCTCCCCAGTTGCTGCCAGACTTGCTGAGTTTCTCCAGCAATTTATTTTTGTAGCTGAAGTGTTATGATAGTTATTACATTAGCAAGAATTATAGGCAGCCATTTTTACACCAAACTAGGGTATAACTAGTTGTTGGTCCACCCGGGAAAGTAACCAGAACCTCAGTCTACATATCTCATCGAAGTAATAGCAACTTCAAAAGTGTAGCACACCCTCAGCCCTGATCCTAGTACCAATCTTCTGACAGTACAGCAGGTTCTCAGTACTATACTCGTAAGATTGCTCTCAGGATCACACCTTTGTTAGCTACCCTCCTGCCTCACAGCCTGTCCTCTGCCAGCACGCTGCCTCTTTCAGTGCTTCCACTCTGCCAGCACCCCAACCCACCCCTCACCCCATCCCTCAGGGTTGACCCTCTGTTGGCATCCTCACCCTCCCTCAGAACAGCACTGGATCATCCACCAAGATTTTGTGCTCAAGTTTCTGGAGCGGAACGGTAAACCACAGGCATCCGTCTCAGAAGACCATAAGATATAGGAGGTGAAGTAGGCCATTCAGCCCATCCAGTCTGCTTCAATCAAGGCAGACAATTATCATCACTATCTCCATGAGACAACATTTTGACAACTGGAGCAGAATAAAACGTGCGTCAGGAAATGAACTGCAACAAGGTTTCTACATAGTAACTTGATTCCGGAAGAAATGCACGTCCTTTAAAATCTCAGCAGCACCAAAAGCTTTTTCTTGGTTAAAATAGCTTCCTATTCCCAACCAAAGAAACAGACTGATGTACCTGGGACTTGTCGTGTTCTTCGTCGCCCTGATGCCTCACGTTGCTGAACAACGAGCGGGACAAGGGGCTCCGCAGGTATTTACTGCTCCACATTTTCCTCAGCTGCAGGAGTGCAACAAAGTAACAGAGCAGGAGCAGCACTCGCTTCACAGCCGTCCTGGGAATTCCGGGGTGGGGGGGGGGGGGTTGACACCCCCCACCCAACTCAACCCTACCCCGTCTGATCCCGGGGATTCCAGGGGACCCCCTCCCCACAGGAGACCCTTCCCTTCCCCGCTTCTCGGGGGAGTCCCGGGTCAACAGGGGGCAAACATTTTGCACAGAAGGTGAAAATGCAGCAAATGCGTTCAGGATCCTCTCTCCCGCTTCACCTGCATGGACCCCACCACATGCCAAACTCAAGGTGCATTTCTGTATTCAGCCTCAGAGTCCCTCATTCCCGCTGACTTCCTGTGTCCCGGAGATTTCCGCTCCCGGCTGAGACTTTAGCAGTTTAGCATTGGACAGCTTTCTTGCGGCTCTGATTGGTCTGCAGTTCAATGCCATGATTGGCCAGTCGACAAAGGCGCTCCTGATTGGCTACTCTGGGCTTCCAAGGAGGCGCGCCGTTTGAATGTGAGAGAGTTCCCGGGTCAAGGACACAAGCTCTTCCCAAACTGGAGACTCGGATTTGAACGCGTAATATGGATTAGGGATCATGGCAGTGGTTATCATTTTTAAAATTTCATTTTGGTGGGTTTTGGTCACCACAATGGAGTGTGGAAAAGCAAAGAAAAACTACGAGATCGGTATTGTTTCTTTAAACATTTTGAGGTTTGTGCCTATGAGGATCACAAAGAATCAAAATATAGACTGACTGTAATCCCTTACCTTTTGTACGGTGATCTAAACATCACATGCTAAACTGCATCAGTGGAGTTTGCTGATTCAGTCTCAAAAACATATTTCTATGAAAGACATTAGACCCGATTTTTCAAAGAGTGTTAATTTCAGCCAGAGTTCTTCCCCATTAAGTAAGAAGTCCGCATTTCTGGCAGGAGATTCCAATTATGGCTCCTTCAGAAATGTGGTGTATCTTAAGTCCAACAGGTAGTTTCAGCCCCTCTGTTTCTCGCACTCTGTTTCAGTCCCTCTATTTCTCGCACTCTGTTTCAGCCCATCTGTTTCTCACACTCTATTTCAGCCCCTCTGTTTCTCACACTCTGTTTCAGCCCCACTGTTTCATCCCCTCTGTTGCTCGCACTCTGTTGCAACCCCTCTGTTTCAGCCCCTCTGTTTCTTGCACTCTGTTTCTCGCACTCTGTTTCAACCCCTCTGTTTCTTGCACTCTGTTTCTCACACTCTGTTTCAGCCCATCTGTTTCTCGCACACAGTTTCAGCCCCTCTGTTTCTCACACTCTGTTTCTCGCACTCTGTTTCTCGCACACTGTTTCAGCCC